CCAGGCCAAGCACAAAGCATGCCCTGCTTTATATAACAGAAAGTAACTGCCTTCTTCTGAAGCTGTCATCTGAAGCGCTGTGTTTTGGATTGGTGAATCTACCTTTTCTCTTGCTTCATTGAGTCTTCATCAAAGCCTGAGTTTAACTCACATTTGTCTCTGCACCTTGATTTGATTGTTGTCAGGTTTTATTAAGTGTTTTGTGACTTGCTGCCACGTCTAGCTGTCTACTTTTAGCCTGGCCACTTTTGTTGTCATTTTCATTTTTTAAGTTCTTTGAAGTTTGTGTTGAAATGTCGGTATTTTATCTGAAAATATCAGTAGCCTAAATAATACCATACACTTTCACCTTTACATGCTGATTACTCTGTCTCTGAGTATTCAGGTTTAATTGTCAGATTGCTTAATTCAGACAAGTCAGATTTTTAGAAGGGTTTCAGCTTTTGTGCCATGGAAAAAGGGTGATCAGCCCTGTCGTTTGAGACCTTGCTTGCCCCCTATCTCATGCATAGAGGAGTTACTTACCCCTCTTGACCTTCACTTTCCTTTCTGTTAAGTGGAGATGATAATGCCTACGTGTCAGGATTATAAGACAAATTAAATTGGATAATGCATGCAAAGAGCCTAAGTGCCTGAGATCTCTCAGACCATCATTAAATATATGTCTTACTGATTTTGAGCCTTTTCTTTGATTCTGATCTGATTCTCTGACCTTTAGATTTGTATTACATGTATTAGCTTTTTGACTCTGGATTATTCATTAAATTGGCTTTTTGATTTAAATAGTGTGCTTCCTCATCACCAGTAGTAAGTGGTAGTCAGGGTTGGAATCTAGTGAGCCCAATTTCAGCACYCACCTAATAAAGTCTTGCCCTACACTGTCCTTACAGAACTCTGAGATATTCCTTACAGAACTCTGAGATTGTCTAATTTATTGTAGCTTGGAGCTTGTACAATCTAGAAAATAGATAATTAGTGTCCTAACCTTTTCAACTCAAATATGATATATCTTCAGTGGGACTTTGGCAGGACTGGTGTGCAACAATGTTATGATTAAATTGTTTCATATGCCTACAGTGCAGATGTTCTGGCACATGGTCAAAGTCCAGTAAATGTTAGATGGGTGATGGATCACAAGAAGAAAAAGAGAGTCCTGTCTCACAGATATCCCTAAGTTTGGGTGAAGTAGAGCTGTCACTGTGTTAGAAAACTTAGAAATTGATTTACATTTTCAGCCAAATAGAAGAGCAGACCATTTTTATACAGGGAGCAAAGGGATTTGGAGACAGAGCCAATATTTTTCTCAGAAAATAACTTGGACTCTTGTGCATTACCTGTGTAAACATTTAGCTTAGACTCTAGAGTCCTGCCCTTTATAGCACAAAAGGAATGAGTTTACTCTAAAGAAATTTTGGAGCAGTTATGACCAGCTAATCACAACATCCCTGAACTTCAGACAGGCCTCTGCGGAGTGTCTGATTTTAAATAGAACTGCTTCCTCCTAGCCCCTGTAGAATTAAGCTGTATAGTGTACACCTGAGCAGCTCAGAGTATTGACTCATGAAAGGAGTTATTTGAGATGCTTGGTGAATGATTACCAAGTATACTTTTAGTTTTGATGTATTGATGCTGAGCTACTTTTCCTGGCAATAACCAGTTATCAGGCTCAGAATCATTTCCTAAGGCTCTTCTTTAGGGAAGTATATATCTTTCTTCTGACCCCCACAATCATGTACATGCTTACCTGCTTGACTGTCCACCTGGGCATCTCATCGTCATCACAGGCCCAGACAGGGCTACCGGGRAATCTTATTCTTTCCCACCTTCTCAAGATTTATGCTGCCTTTTCTTGGGTATGCCTTTGATAAAATGGACTCCTGTGTACCTAGTAACTCAAGCTGGATATGTCACTAGGCATTATATTGGGATATAACTCAGGGACACTTGACCACTGAGTCACATCCCCAGCCCTATTTTGTATTTAATTTAGAGATAGGGTCTCACTGAGTTGCTTAGCGCCTCACTTCTTGCAGCCCTTAGGCCTCACCAGCGAGTTTCACGTAGTATTTCTCTCATCTATCCACTTTTCTTCATTTGATGTGCCACCAGCCTCATCCAAGCCACCAACATTCACTTGAATTCCTGACCTGGCCCCTTCATGGCCTCTCTGCTTCCACTCTTGCTATGTAACCACTCCTCTGTGTAGCACCTTTGTAAAACAGTGTGCTTGTGTTATGTCCCTATTTAAAAGCTTTTAATGGCTTCCCATTGCACTTTAGATGAAAATCAAAATTATTGACCTTGACCTGCATGTCTTGGCATGATATGGCTTTGATTCACATGTCCGAATTCATCTTTCCCTCATTCTTTCTCTTTTACTTTCTTTTTGGCCAAACTGGTTTTCTTTGTGCTCTCTGAAAGCACCAAGTTTTTTCTTGCCTGAGTCTCCATTATTTTTGTCTGCCCAGCATGCTTTTGTCCACTCTTGACTTGACGGACTCTTCCTCCTTCATTAGGATTCATATTAATTGCTACTTTTTCCCTATGTGTTCTTTCCCAATCCTCTAATTTAAACCTACAGTCTAATAACCTCTCTCAAGATTTGCCAGAATTTAAAAAACTCTGCACTTTGTGTTTCTAGTTTCCCCTGTGTCACCCAGCACAGCACAAAATGCTTGTGAAGGAGTAGTGCTTCATGGCCATTTGTTGAATGGAAGATTGTTTAATCAAAATGAAAATTGGGGTTGGGGATATATCTTAGTTGGTAGAGTGCTTACCTTGAATGCACAAGTCCCTGGGTTCAATCCCTACGTGTGTGCGCGCACACACACACACCAAAACAAACAAACAAACAAACAAACAAACAAACAAAACCCAGAACGTTGGTCTAGAAGGAGCATCTTACTTTTCTCTTTGCAGTAACCACAGAGCCATCTAATTCCTGTAGAAGAGTTTCCTGACTGCTTCCACAAGTGTCCAACAGAGTCCTAGTAGGAGGTTGTTGGCTATTTGCCATTTTGTTTTGCCACAGAAGAACTTGATGGTACTTTCTCAGCATGTCCTTGGGAATCTAACAGACTTAAGTGTTGGTCCTACTGCTGATCTTTGCATCCTTAATCAAGTTCTCCCAGGTCTGTTTCCCCATCTATTAAATGGAAAAAGAAAGTTCTATCTATCTCATATTCTTATGAAGTAGAATATTAAGCAAGGTTATATATTTACAATGCCTAATATAGTGCTTTGATACCTTGTAGGAGTTCAGGCATTCTTATTTCCTTCATATCTCAAGAAATTAATAAGGAATCAAGGAAAAGAAAACTCATTTAACTTACCTTGTTTCTATTTTCTGCATAATCATACTCAGGAGTGCTAACCTGAGGGTCAAAACTTGTGTAAGGGGAAAAAGGCCATCTCCAGGGTGAAATAAGCAAAGGTAGACTGGTTATTTAACAGTAAATAATATCCCATCCCCAAAAGATATACATGGAATTCTCCTTTGCCTTATTCAGGGGTTATTGTTTAATACTGTTAAATTGTTATAACTAATAAATGTAAGTAGGTGTTTTCTATTCTGGTTTAAGTAGATATTCCATGGAGACAGATTATATGAAAGTATTTTTCCTATTTAGATATTTTTGTATCTAAGAAGCCTTAGGAGTACCATTGAAAACTCTGGAGTCCAAAGCTGTTCAATTGATATTCTCAGCTTTGGGGGTAATTTAAAAATTAAATATTCTGAAAACAGACTGTTAGTTTTAAAATATGACAGATTAGATTCAAATTAATAGGTGTAGATAGTTTCAAGGTATACCAATCTGAACGTTAGATTTAACTCAGGCAGTTTCTCTTAAATTCAGTCTATCAAAATCATCAACTTGAATTTGCCATTAAGTTAGAATAGTTCACCTACTTTTGCCTCCATTAAATTTGTTTTGCTCTTTGACATGCAATAGTAACCAGGCTAAGGGAGCTGTTTCACTATAAGCCATGCCCTTGAGAGAGCTGGGGGGTTGAGTATTAAAAGATCAAAACCTTTGCTTTTGTCTTCTAAAATATTGATCTAAATCAGGAACTGCATTTGTAGTTGATCCATATGTTTAAAGTGCTGGTGTCAGAGCATGGGCCAGACAATTAATATTCATAATACATTAATCAACTACTTAGCTCAGTTGTTTAGAGCATGGGAATTTTGGGGCAGCCAAGGGAACAGATTGGAATTCCTTCTGGGGCTCCCTCACCCTTCCTTGTTCTGTTGTCACAAATATCTTAGCTCAGACTCAAGCTTAAGGATCTTGAAAATGCATATGATTAGTCATTTGAACATAGATTCATAACATGAATGTATAGGAAAATGCATGAGCAGCACTACAGAAGATGAGTTAACAGAGGGGTTGTATGAATGCTGATGTGAGGACATTTCATTTAGCTCTGGGTTAGTCTCTCATCTGCAAACTCAACTTCACACACCAGTGTAGCTGACCTAAGAATTAAGGTCGCTAATATTTACATGTCTTGAAGGACAGAAAACAATTCTGTTGTCATTTTCAAAATTTCATTTTTTACTTTTTGTTCATCAAAGTGAGTAAAAAGTTGATGCTATTAGTGGTTCTGGTCATTTGAGTTTTCTTTTAGARCTTTCTGTGTCTGGTGGCACCATAGTGCTTTAAGAAGAAATTGGGAAGTTACCTTCTGAACAACCACTCCTATCTTTTTTGTTGAGTCCAAAGGGAGCTGATGTGACATGAAGAAACAAAGCATCACCTTTGCTGAAATGCAAGTCTGATGGTTAAGAGCAGACCATCTCACAGGACTTCAGAGCTTCCTTCTGCTGTCAAACCAATTTGATATTTAATGACTTCTGCAGGGTATTTTAACTGAATCAGTTACTACTAGGAAATGAAAGTCTGTCACTGAAGGGCCACAGTGTAGTCTTTGCTCTGCCTACCTGTTATTTACTGACAGACCTTTTTCCTTTTTTTTTTTTTTTTTTTTTTTTACAGAATGCTATGAACCTACCTCCTGACAAAGCCAGGTTACTGCGTCAATATGACAATGAGAAAAAATGGGAACTGATTTGTGACCAGGTAAGAAACAGTTATGCTTTTATCAAGAAAATAAGCGATGATGCCAATATTCTACATTAAAACCATAATCTTATGGGGGAAAAAAAAGCCAGAAGAGACCACAGTTCTCTCCTGTACACACTGGACTTTTCCCAGGTGATGCATGGTTTTCTAGTTTTTGATTCCTTACCTTCCTGTTTCTTATCACCAAAGGAGAAGCTAAGAAACGACTTTTTTTTTCATTATTTTAATTCTCTCATTTATTTGTTTTTGGAATTGTTTTTGAACCCAGGGTGCTTTACTACTGAGCTACATTGCCAGCCCTTATTATATTTTATTTTGAGGCAGAGTCTCTCTAAGTTCCTGAGGCCGGCCTTAAACTTGCCATTCTCCTGTATCAACCTTGAGTCACTGTGATTCAGGTGTGTGCCGCTGGGCACCCAGTTCTCATTTATTTTTAAATATTTTGCAATTTGATGTTCAGGGAAAGCTGGTTAAGTGGGCAACCAAATTCAGATGATCTCTTTCTCTTTCTCAGTTTATGCTGCTCAAATTGTATGGGTCCTCTAAGTTTTTTGCCTTCATATTTCTGTAAATTGATGGATGTGAAACGGTGAATTGTTTATAAAGAAACATTATTTAGACTGATAAAACTATTTCAGATTTTAGCCATTATAGAGGAATGTAAAATATAACATAGGCAGTGAAATTCTTCCTTTGCCTTTCCCCTCCAAATTTTAGTCCTTTATTAAAGATTCATTGGTAAGACTTAGAAGTCTCTCCTTTAATTTTTTTTTTTTTTTTTAAAGCAAGATCATCTTCTAAAGCAGGGTAAGCCTAATGCTATGGGGATAAAGTGTGGCAAGGGACGAGAGGGATTTTCTGTCAGTCATAGGCAGAGAGTCCCTCTTCCCTAGAAAGTAGATGCCTACAGTTCACATAAAGCTTCTGAAGCATGCCTGGGAACTTGGTTTACCTTAGTTCTTAAAGACAAAACAACCAACAGCCAACCAGTAAAGGGATGGTGATAAAATCGCCCTCTTCCCTCCATGCTGTGCATGAGCACCCAGAGTAGGCAGTAGCTGAAGAGGAAGACGCTGATGCACAAGAAACAATCTGTGAAACCTAGCTCTATTTGAGACTTAGTATCTATTGAGTGTTATCTAAACCTGTTATTGCAAGTAAGGTGATTTTTATAATAGTAAAAAAATCATAGAGATAATTAATATTAGAGAAATGTAATTACATAAATAAGGGAAGTATAAGGGGGGAGTGAAAAAGTCTCAAGTATGACCACCTATGAGAGTGAAGGAGTGCAAATGTAGGCTGCGTCCCCATGGTCCTCTGTGGGCCCTGCGAGGGCAAACCTTTCTCTCCCTTCCTCCCTTTCACAGATGCATTCACCTGCTCCTTTCTGTCTTTATTGAATTATTAATTTTTACATCCCAAGTGCCAGAAAGGGATGATGGAAAGCTCCTAACAGCTGCATTCTTCTCTCAGACCAAAAATATCTTCATAGGGTTGATGCTCGGCTTTAGGGGTTCTTAAGGCTAAGGAAGGAGCAGTCGGGTATCTAAGTTTCTGATTTTCAAATCCTCAAGTCCACGTTGTTATTGCCCTTAAATGTCACTATGCCAGGTCATGGAGAACTTTTCTACTTCATCTGTTCCTCTTTGACAGTCCTGTCGCATGTTAGAGGCTCCACACTGAAGTGACTTTGTCAGCTCTGAGGCCTCATTTGTTAATAATAGTTAAAGAATAACAATTATTTATTGCAAATAGCCAGCATTTAGTAAGTTATCTTAATGTCTTTGTGTTTAGTATTCAAAGCAGCCACACTTATTTGTATTTCCATTTGGCATAGGGGAAAACTGAGACTTGGAGATTATTTTCCAAAGGTCACATAGCTATTAATTGGTAAAGTGCACAGGTTATCTGATTCTGGAGAATGAGCAGATTTGGGGTTTATGCTCTCAACCCTGCCCTCTTCTGCCCTCCTCATAAGCTGCCAGTAGTATATTGATTCTGAGTAGTATACTAAGAGTCAATAAAAATAAAGATTCCCTTCTCTGTCTTGCATTTTGGCATGCTTTTGTGAAAAGGAGAGAAAGCTGGGAGGTGTATCTCGGGTGGTGAGCCTACCTACCCACATTACCACTATGATAAACCATCATTTTTGGTTAACCGTTTGTCTTTGTGAAAATGATGGCCATGAGTATGTCACTTACATGACTATCATTGGCCCTTTAATGCTTTTGAGGGAAAAGTCAAAAACCTTGAGCTGAAAGCATTCATAATGGCAACCATGGTGCAAGGATTTTATTACCATTTATCTCCTCTGTTATATACATGAACCATGTCATATATTTTTTGGTACCTAAGGTAGATCTGTCTATAGTGTCTAACTAATAGACATCGAAAATACATTTGTAATTATAATTCCATYTATAGAAAATGACTAGAACAATCTGTAAAGATGGAGAGTAGATTAGTCATTGCTGAGGACTAGGAGGGGGCATGAGGAGCCACTGCTGACGTGTGTCAGGTTTTCTTTTTGGCGTGATGCAAAAATTCTTAAAGTACACAGTGGTGATACCTGCATAGCTATGTGCACATACTAAAATTATATATTTTTAATGTGGATTTGGGGAATGGAAATTATCTCAATTAAAATAAAGATATTTACTTTTATCATATCATAGGGAACAAAAAATAGGAAAAAAACTTAAGAGAAATAATGAAATGTTTGTGTGTGTGTGTGTTTTTTTTAAAATTCCAATTGGAACAAACTAATTATAAAAAGACTTTATGGGAAAATTATGAAAATTTGATTAGTGACTAAGAAGGTTCCAAGAAATTATTGTTTGATTCTGTTGAGTTTGATTTTAGCTTTGTGATTATTTAGGGACCTGCCCTTATATTTTAAAAAAGGCATATTGATGTAGAGTTAAAATTATATGCCTAAGGCTTTCTTTAAAATACTTTCTCAAAGGAGGAACAAAAAGGGATAGATAAAGGAAATCTGAAAAAGTCTCTGTAATTAATAAATCTTGATTTTTGAGATATGTGAAGTATAATATATTTTCAATTTCTGTGTATATTTGAGAATTCATCATAGCTGTAAATTTTAAATAAATAAAAGTATTTGCTTTTTAATAATCTTTGGTTTCTTTTTAAATGATTTTTATTTTCTTTTTTATAAAATATAATTAATATTAACACCCTTAACTTGTTTATAGGATTGGAGGTGATGGATGTAAAGTACATGGACTAATACTTGGCATAGAGTAGGCACTTCATAAATTATGTGGCTGCTTCTGCTACTGATGAAGAACCCTAATATCAAATATTATGATCATTACTTTTATTTTCATCTTGTTCTCAAAAGATTCAGGAACATTTACTATATTGAAACTATCATCCATTGTTACTCAGATGTACTTTATGATATTAATGCATATTGTATGACACTGTCAAGAAAAGCCTTAGCTATAGATTTTTGGTCTGAGAAATTTTCAGGGCAAGTCTTGGTTGTAAAGTTTTAAAACAGTGACTCTGGGGTGTCATTGACATCTAACATGAAACACCCTCGGCACTTGATGCTTTGTGCACAAATAACAATTTTATTATTTTAAGAAAATAAATCTAGACATTTTATTTGTCATTATAGTATGCGTGCTTTAGTCTAGGAGCACTGAGTAAGAGGTAATACTAAGGAAATTTATTTCCAAAGGAAGTATGTGAATACTAGTGTTGGAAGACCTCTGGAGAAAATTTGAGGTGTCATTTCCATGAAAAATTATCATACAGACACTATGAATCATGCAATTAGTCACACTTCTTCTTTTTCCCCTTAGCTGCTAGAAGGCTTAGAGGCAAATTTGTGGCCTACCCTGACCACTCTACAGTATTTTAATGATATGTGTTTGTTTACCAACCTCATTCATGGCTTCATCTAATTTTTTTCTGCCCAGATTTCCCTTTCACATTGCTTTCCTTACCAGAAAAAATCATGGATAAAGTTGTAAACTTTTGTAAGTCATCTTTTTGAGCAAATTAAATATGAGATACATGTCAGCATTACTGTTGAACAAAGATTATATTTCTTTGATAACTAAAATTTTTTCTATACTGGCAACCTTGTGCAAGGTGGTACTCTGAATCTGCTCAGCTTTCCTAAGAAAGTAAATATGGAGTGGGAAAATAAGTGCTTAAAAAAAGGGTGGGGATGGGGTTATAGCTCAGTGGAGCGCTTGCCTAGCACATATGAGGCACTGGGTTTGATCCTCAACACCACATATAAATAAATGAAATAAAGGTCCATTTATGTCCATCTACAAATTAAAAAAAATAATAAAGTATTTATCAAGATTTAACTTAAGAAAAGCAATAGAGTTATCTGCAACTCATCCTTTTATTTGTTATACCAACATTTTCATACTCATTTTGAAAGTATTTTAAAAAAAATCCATCTCTTTCAAGAGTTAGTTCCTTTAAGGTATGAGTTATGTGGCATTTGTTTGTGTACCTCCAGCAACTTCCTTAGTGCCTCAAACAATGCTTATTGAAAGTATGTTGAGCCAAAGAGATAATGTTTAAATGATGTGTATGTTCAGGAGCAATGGAGAAGCAAGCTAGCATTATTGGCACAGATGGCAGAAAAGAGGGGAGAGGTTTAGTAGGTGGCCTGGGAGACTAACTACAGGTTTACTGTTTCTTTATTCCTCTTGCCCTCTTGGTGTAGTTTGCTTGTGCTTAGTAAAACTAAACTTCATTGTTTAATTCTACAAAGTCCTTTAACGAGAGGAAGGGTTCCTGGTGTAGTATCAAGGATTCTACTTATTTTGTATTTTTGGAGGAGAGCTGTCTCTCTACCTTCCCCTGGCCAACTGAAAATCCTGGCTACAGGCTTGGTGAAATAGTTGTGACTCCAATTTTTTGGCTGATATCAGGAGCAAGATAGAAATTTTAGTCTTTTAAAAATTGTGTTAACATATACATAATATAAAGTTTACCATTGT